ATGCTCCCCCTGTGACATATAATTCTTACTATACTCAAAAAGTGAACTCTACTCATGTGGGGGGAGCCTAAAAGGCCATTAGCTTGGTTTAAACAAGGTTCACCATTTTAAGGAAGATCTAAGCACTTATAGTTGCTTTTGGACTTATGAAATATAGAAAAAGAAAAGAAAATTGAAGTGAAGAAGAAATCTTACCCTCAGGGGAACTGAAAGGGATTTCTATTTTAAGTACTTTCATCAATACCAGTGGTTCCCAACACCCCACAAGGGGACAATTTGGTTTTTCTTGGGGGCAATTTGAACCTTGTTTAAACCAAACTAATGGCCTTTTAGGCTTCCTCCACACGAGTAGAGTTCACTTTTTGAGTAAAGTAAGAATTATATGTCACAGGGCGGGGTGGGGGAGGAGAGGGATCAGGATTTTAGATATGCTTAGATGGGGCATGGCAAAAAAAAAAGTTGGGAACCACTAACCTATACTTATATGTTAATCTAACATACTTTCTCCCAAAAGGAAAAGACACAACTTAATGCAACTATATTGCAATCACATACTTCTGTTTAGAAAAATATTTTTAGCCTTATCATATACCTGGTAGGAAATTACACTCTCCCACTGTTGTTGACGAGGGGCTGTCTTGTACATCCATGTGAGCATTGAGTCCTTAATGAAAATGGACACAGCACGTAGGATAAATGAAGTAAAAAGGTTCAAGTGAATGTAGTTCCTGGTACAATGCAGATGCCTGTAAATATAATTATGATGCTTAATTCACTTGAAAACGTGTAGGCTGTTACAACTGTCAAGTGAGGTACCAAAGGAGCTCTGTTCAAAATTGAAGTGTGTACATCAGGTAGTTTACACTGTAGAGTTAAAATAAATTTGTTGGTTGCTCTCATTTATCAAACGGAAAGCAAACTACTAATGCTAAAAAATACAAAGAACTATTATTGGAATACCATTTTCTATAGTATTCAGAGAAAAAGGCTTAAAAACAAAGGCTTAAAATTGAGTTTTAAGTCCTATAGGCAAAAGTTTAAAAACCCATTTTTAAACATCCTTAGTTTAACCTCGCACTGCACATTTCTGCAGGAGATTGTGACAGAAGCATCAATTCCCATCAAGCGAAATCGTACTATTTATCAGCAATTGTTTGAAAGGCAATAGAGGACTAAGCACTTAAAAAAGAATTTCATGCATACAGTAGGAGTAAGTAGAGCATGATTTTACTTCTGGGATCCCAACAAGCAAAAATGAAAATTCATTATGAGCATCAAATTTCAACATGTCAAAAAGAAAAAACTTAATTCAATGACTAAACCTGTCATCATTGCAACAGCAGTACTTTACTTTGGAACCCCTTCTCGTTATTTCTACCAATTTATAACAAACCATATTTAAAAGCAGATGTAGCAGAACAAAATTCTATTGAAAAAAAAGTTCTTCTGTTTCTACCTCTAACAAATCAAATGTTCTGCCAATTTATAAAACAGAATATTCATACCAAATTAGCTGTGTCCAATTTACAAGTAATGTTTATTTATTTATAGTGCAGCTTTTTTCCTTTCCCACAAATTCACTGAAGACAAACTGTATTTCACTTATTATATCCCATACTTAGAAAATTTCCCAATTATCATATGAAGTTTTATTTTTATGCCATGTCTAATTATTCATTGTTACATTTAATTTTGGAAGTTAAGCATTAAGTATCAGATATTTTCATATGCTAGAATTCATTCTTTTTAGCCATGTTGCTTACCTGAACCAAATGAGGATGCCAGTTGCGATAACAAGAGCTGAGAAAGAAAGAGCATATCCAGTGGTGTAGATGACAGAAAGGAATAACAACTGTCTTCCTGGTGAGTCCTGAAAAGGGTAACACAGAAACAACTGAAATACAATTACTGGACTTTTCCTGTTTTGTTGTGTCAACGGAGCTGACAGAAACACAAAGCCAATCATTTTACATGGAAACACAGGAAAAGATGACCAAACATATCTACTACACAATGTTCAAACAATCAATCAGAATAGAGCTGGAAGCGATGCCTTCTAGTCCAACCCCCTGCTCTATCAGGAGTCCCTATACAAATTGAGACAGGTGGCTGTCCAGTCTCTTCTTAAAAACCTCCAGTGATGAAGCACCCACAACTTCTGAAAGCAAGCTGTTCGGTTGGTTGATTGTTCTCAGGAAGTTTTTCCTTAATTCCAGGTTGTTTCTCCTCTTGATTAGTTTCTACCCATTATTTCTTGTCTTGCCTTTTGGTGCTTTGGAAAATAAGTTGACCCATTCTTCTTTGTGGCAGCCCTTCAAGTACTGGAAAGTTTCTATCATGTCATCGCTAGTCTTTCTTTTTTCTAGACTAGCCATACTCGGTTTCTGCAACTGTTTTTCATATGTTTTTTCCCCAGGACTTTAATCATCCTAGTTTCTCTTCTCTGTACTTTTTCCAAAGTCTCAACGTCTTTTTTTGTAATGTGGTGACCAAAACTAGAGACAGTATTCCAGGTGTGGCTTTACTAAGGCTTTATAAAGCGGTACAAATTCTTCACGTGATTTTGATTTTATGCTTTTATTTATACAAGCAAGCATTGTATTAGCTTTTTTACCTGCTGAAATTCTTAGTAGGTTTGTAGCAGCAGATTGAGGTTTGGTTTAGCAATCT